ATTGGCCTTCCTGGCCACAAGGGCACAGTGCTGGCTCATGGTCATCCTGCTGTCCACCAGGACTCCCAGATCTCTTTGTCCTACACTGCTCTCTAATAGATCATTCCCCAACTTATACTGGAGCCTGGGGTAACTATTGTCTTGATAGCTACTCAATTTTCGTTGGTGATCTGAGAGTTCGATCTTCTTTTTCAAGAAAGTTTCTTTTTCTTATGTTTATACCAAAATCAGCTACAGTTAGAGATGGATATAGCTCCAAAATAAATAAACTAGGCCTGGGGAAGAGTGGCTGGAGAGCTGCCCAGCAGAAAAGGACCTGGGGGTGTTGGTTGATAGCTGGCTGAACATGAGCCAGCAGTGTGCCCAGGTGGCTAAGAAGGCAAATGGCATCCTGGCCTGTATCAGAAATAGTGTGGCCAGCAGGAGTAGGGAAGTGATCCTCACCCTGTACTTGGCACTGGTGAGGCTGCACCTCGAGTCCTCTGTTCAGTTTTGGGCCCCTCACTACAAGAAAGATATTGAGTTGCTGGAGCACATGCAAAGAAGGACAACGAAGCTGGTGAAAGGCCTGGAGAACAAGTCTTATGAGGAGCAACTGAGGGAGCTGGGGTTGTTTAGCCTGGAGAAAAGGAGGCTGAGGGGAGACCTTTTACCTCTCTACAACTACCTGAAAGGAGACTATAGAGAGGTGGAAGTTGGTCTCTTCTCCCAGTTAACAAGCAATAGAACAAGAGGAAACAGCCTCAAGTTGCACTAGGGGAGGTTTAGATTGGATATTAGGAAAAACTTGTTCACCAAAAAGGTAGTCAAGCATTGGAACAGACTGCCCAGGGAGGTGGTGGAGTCACCTTTCCTGGTGGTATTTAAAAGATGGGTAGACGAGGTGCTTAGGGACATGGTTTAGAGGGAGAATTGGTAGTGTTAGGTTTATGGTTGGACTCGGTGATCTTAAAGGTCTTGTCCAACCACTATGATTCCATGAAACAGAAAATGCTGAAAAAAATACCATTTAACAGTATATGCTTCAGGTAAGAAAGAGACTTAACAGATTAAAAAGTATCAGTTTAGTTTTTCAAACATTAGCTATTTTAGTCACAGTACATTTCATTATTAAGGAATAATATTCAGTTTGGTTTTTACCACTATTCATAGTAGAACTTACTTTTAATATGTTCGCAAAGTAAACAGTCACTATTTTTGCAAAATGTATACATCAGTACATGTGCTACACAAGTGAGAAAGTTGCTAACCCAATTTCACTAGGTTCTCATAATGCTCATCATCATGGCATCTGCAAATTCTCCAGCTCTGTGTGTCCCAACAAAGACTTCTGTATTTAAAAATCTCAACCAGTAAATCACAGTTGTACCTTTAGAAATAACAACAAAAAAGGAAAGTCTTCACTGTCTTCACTCTTTCATCAAGACTACACACCACTGTAGTTGTACTGAATGTTTGGAAACCATGTCTCAATAGAATTTTTGAAACCAAGTGTGATGAAAGCACAACCAAGTGTGAGGAAAGCATCTGAAAATTCAGTTGGTAATCCAAAACCAAAAGCATACACATTCAATGCAGATGGAATCTCTGACTGTCTGTGTTAAGCTACATGTAACAGTGCCTCAAACACAGAGTTTAGTACATTTATCCTGTATAAAGGATTAAATGTGGGTTTGGCAGAGTACTGACAAATTTCACTTGCAATTACAGTAGGAGTATTTTAAGACTATGCACATGCACATATTTTTTTATTCAAACATGCATGTTTATACAGAAAAATAGTAGACACTGAAAAAATAATCTAAACTTTAAGATAAAAATTCTCCAATTTAAAGTACAGTCTTTAAAACATTTAAATAGTCTTCAAATTTGTTTTTAAACTTACTTCTTTAAAAAAAAAAAATTCTTCCATAAATACATTCACCACATGTCAACTCATTTGCAGAGGGTTTCAGAGAGAGAGATAAAGAAAGAGGAGAAAAGGTTGAAGGCAAGAGAAGGGACAGGACCAAATAAAACTAAGTTAGAGTAAATAAGGGAAAAATTACAAAGTCAAGATATTGTCAGCACTGGCTAAAGATAAAAAGGAAAACTGAAGTTATGCCACACCAGAATAAGCACTGGTTTTTAATCACAGGTAAGAAATGTAGCTTTCATATGGCCAAGTCATGAATCCAAAAGAACCAGAAAGACTAAATTATTAGGACAAAAGTAGGGGAATGGAAGGAAGGCATTCAAGAGAAAGAGAAATTAAATTCTCTGTCCATAGTTTTAGAAAAAGCTCAATACACATATACTGTTCATCCTCCTCTGCTCTTCACTGTATGAAGCTTCACTTACAGTCTCAACCTGTTTGCTATAAAGGTCTTCGTGAAGTCTCTTTTGGCCCACATTCCTCATTTCAAACTAAATTTTTGGCTATTTATATAATAGCTGATGCTGCAGAACTCAGAGTTAATAAGTTTAACAGTGTTAGAAAGTTTGCACTACATAAATTCTAATAGAAATTGGGAAATGCTTGCTTCCTCTCAGAACATTTTATTACCTAAAGTAATAAAATTTAAAATTTAAGAAGCAATCAGTAGTTTTGTCTTTCCCTTTTGCAATTTGCAGTTGAAAACATCACCATCTTGTCTTTAAAACACTGTTGAAAAACTATCCCAAAACAATAAAACCAAACCTGTCATATGCCAAACAGAAGTCATGTTTGAAAAAATCTAACCCTTACTGATTCATAGTATCTCTTTTAAAAATAGTGGGCAGGAGGAGGGAAACAACTCCAATATATTTCAGATTGCCAATATTAAAGTGTTTTCACAGAATTTAAATTTTCAAAGCATTGAAAAAAATTTCATTTGGTATTTTCATCTAAAGTGAGCAATGTGAGCAATGAACTGAAGATAGTGGGAATGTTATTATTGCTACTATACAAGGCTATCATATTAATGAGTATTAAGAGAAACATAAATCAACTTCTGGCAACAACCAACAATCAAATCAAAAATCTGATCTGCAGTGCTGTGTCAAGCATAAAATGGATGGGTATGTTGGTCTAGACCTTTAAGAAATTCCCACAGCACATTATAATTTTGTCAGTGGTTATCTTTAGCCATGACTGAGCTAAACATTTTTCTAAGAACTACAGAGGTAAGCTGGAAACACTGTTTCTTTGCTTCTCCTTTCCTACAGCTCACCTCCATGAAACACTCAAAAACTGCTGACCCCTCCACCCAAGAACGCTGACTGTAGTAAGGCCATGACAGTTCCCGGTGCAAACTCTTTTTAAGCTTTGCTGTGTGACCTAAGCAAAAATATCCTTAAACAATGCACAAACCAAACAAAATCTTAAAGTCTCCTCTCCAGTCTGTCAGTCCAGCTTATCTGACTACTTTGATTTCTTTGTTTCAGCTATTCAGCAAATATGCACTGCTCTGGGACAAAGAAGACACTAGTTACTATTTGCCATGTGGCAAAGACCAGAAAATGCATTTTTATATACCTCAGAACCAGGTTCAAATGAAAGCCAATTGTCCATGCAGTTGCAACTCAAATTAAACTAGAAGCTGTGCTTATGACTACCTTTTGTGTGGTGTGCAAATATAACACAATCATATTAAATATTCCCTGCTTTTATTTAACTATGTCAAACAAAATAAATGGTGCATGTTCAAGTCTAATACTGGTTTCATATTTTAAATACAAAATTTATTTTAAAAATTGTACATGGCACCTTTGTAATGGACAATAAACCCTTAGATTAGTTAAAAAGAATCACCTATGCTACTCCTGTTAATCATGTTTTCTAGGAGAAGTATCACAAATACTAGAAAT